TCAAGCCCCATGTCAGGCTCCCTGCTCAATGCAGTCTGCTTCTCTCTCTCCCCCTGCCTCACTCCTTTCCCCCCACTCATTCTTTTTTTTCTCTCTCTCTCTAAAATGAAATTTTTAAAAATCTTTTAAAAATAAATAAAACACTTAATCCACCATGCTTTCACTAAGTGCTTACATCTCCCACACAGGTCCTGTACACCTGGGGAAACATGGAGCAATGGGAGTCAGGAAGTGCCTTGAGCCTCCCTTTGCCCCACTGGGTCAGTTTCAACCCTGGACGGCCTGAATTTCTATTTAGTGTTTGCATAAACTTATCCTTAATAAAGATATTTATTTATTTATTTATTTATTTATTTATTATTTATTTATTATTTATTTTAGATTTTATTTATTTATTCATGAGAGACAGAGAGAGAGAGGCAGAGGGAGAAGCAGGCTCCATGTAGGGAGCCCGACGTGGGACTTGATCCTGGGACTCCAGGATCACGCCTCGGCCAAAGGCAGGCGCCAAACCGCTGAGCCACCCAGGGATCCCAAGATATTTATTTCATAATATATAGTAAAGTTAGGAAATTGATGGTTTAAATCTGTCTTTAACAAAAAATTCTCACGAGAATGGGGAACAGAGTTGAAGGTCTAATAACAAAGGCATGTAGTTACCACCTGGTGGCAGCATAGCTAAACTAAAGACCATGAGTGTGAGGGGTGTGAGTGACTGTGTGCAGGTATATGTGTGTGTACACCTACGCAAGTTCAGGGGAAGGAGAGCCCAGAGTGGAATGATAACATCTCAGGGTCAGAAGCCAACATCACTCCCCTGCCAACTTTACTCATCATGGGCAGTTTCCCCCATAACCTTCCTACCTAGTGGCTGTTTGGATTCCCTTTGGAGAAGGAGACCTTACTATTCTTCCTTTTCCAAAATTCAAGTCAGAAACAGGCAGATTTGTCCCAATACATTTGAGTGACCCCCAAAGAAGTAGTAAAGAGCTGGTCTAAAGCCTACACTCCATAATGCTCATCCTGTGAACAAATGTAGGAATAAACATAACTTGCTTTCCTTAATACATTTACTTTCAGCCTCGAGGACTGAATGGTAACAAAGGTAGGGCACTGAGAAACCTGGCTCTTGAGACATCTGGAAAGAGCTCCTGTCTAAGTGTCCATCCCAAGGTTGGAAAAGGCAGATCCTAGAAGGACAGGCCAGGAGTGTCCTCTGTCCCAGTGGTACAGCAGACAGACTTGCCTCTGGGAATATGCAGACCCAGATTCCTGACCCAGTTCTCCCTCATTGGGACTCAAATAAGCTAGTAAACTGAGCCTTAGTGTTCTCCCCTGTGAAATGGAGATAATTCTATCCACCTAGCCCAAGGATGATAGGACAAAATAACAGATGAGATCAAAGTGGTCCACTTACTTGAAAGAGCTGGCGGACACTGCAAGTTATTACTGTGCCGGTTGGTGTTGCAAATACATATCTTAGATTTATCAGTTTTTCCTGCTTATTTATGAACTAAACTGTTTCTCTCCTAGAGAATCACTGGTGATAAAATGAATAGTTCTTCCCCAGGTACAAGTTGCTGCTCCTTCTGGGCCAGTAAGATAGTCCTTCTTAAGATTAAACCACAGAGACAGAAACACAAAACAAATCATATCTAGAATCAGAAAATGCAGTTTATATGATCCGGCAAATGAAAAATGCAGTGAGTTTCCTTTCTCTATCCACAGAGCAGTCAAATTCTTACAGCATATCTATTAGTGGCCTCCTTCTAGCTCCAGGGCAACCAGAGTCCCCCTGACCCCATATAACTCTACATGTCACCAACAGCCACAAACTAGGCCTGCTCTATAGCACTCCACTGCCTTGGGAGGTGCTGGAAAAGTTCATTGTTCCTCCTGTGACTGCCTTTAGCATAACCTGCAGCTTTCCACTGGTATGACGAGGAGATTTCTTGTGTTGGAGCATCCAGGTGTGTGAAGGCACTCTGTCAATACAGAACAGCTAGGGAAGCAGGGGATTCTTTAACCGTTCAACTACCCTGTAGTTAGGACACAAGGCAGAAATGTGGATACACAGTCTCTGGCTTTCCAAGTAGGTACCAGTTATCCTCCAAATGTTCTTTTGTGAATGGGTCTCTTCCAGATTGGAAAGGACTGGGTGTTGGCCCCTCCTGTCTCCCCGACACCCAGAAGAGGCAAGCAGCTAAAACACATTAGATGCTCCAGAAACACTTGTTGGGTCCATAGAGAGATAAATGGAAGTGCAAGTGCAGAGGGTGCCAGGGGCTTCTTGGTGAGCTAACATTGGGGCCGTGGCTGTAGCTGCTAGATGGCTTCTTTAGAAGAAACTACAACTAAAACTTATGGCAGTAGCTGGAGATTTCTGGCAGGAAATAAGGAATACAGTCCTAGAGACAGAGACCTCAAATGTGAGCTCTATCACTTATTAGCTGGGAGACTTTGAGAAAGTTGTTCAACTTCAGTTTTCTCAAGTGTAAAGTGCAGGTAATCAAAGCATCTTTATGTGGCTTGAAGGATTCAGTGAGATAGAGGATGTGGATGCAGGGATGATGCCTTCTCTCCTCACCCCCCTGCTAGGTCATGGCTCATTCGAGAAGAGCTTCTTCCAGCACTTCTAGTTCTCCCTGTCAGGTGCAGGAAGGTAGCATCTACTGAGCTTTCCCTCATTCTCCCCGCTTCCCAAGAGGGGCAGCCACTTTATCTAGCAAACACCTACCAACGACTGGAACACAGCTTCCAGGTGCTGGGGTTGCCATGTCAAAGGCCCTGCTGGTGTCAGAGTCTGCCTTCGGCCCCTGAGCTGTCCACACCCTCTACTCCAAGGCGCCTTCTTGGTGCCTGCTTTTCCCTTCCTGGGTGGGAGACTCAAGCTCATCCCCCTGCCTCGTGTGCCCAAAGCCCCTCTGTCTTCTTCTTTGCCTGAAGGTTGGCAATTCTCAATCTTGCCCATTCCAGAAAGCCCTCTGTCAATAAAGCTGATGTGTTGATGGGTATTTGTCTTGCCTTTCTTGAATCTATTGAATAGTCCAGAGGGAAGAAAGGCTAAATTTTAGGACGTGTTTCAGAGTGCTTAGCATTTCATAGCAATTGGTAGTGACATATTTAGAAGGCTGTTTGAGGGCCTGTGGTAGGTCCTCCTGCTCCAACTGTGCATTGAAGTCCAAAATTATTTAGACCAGTGGTTCTTAAAGGCAGCAGTACTGCCCTCTAGGGGAAGCTTTGAAAATCTAAGAGGGGGGTTTTAGGTTGTCACCAGGATGGAGGGAAATGACAGTAATTCCCCTTATCCTTGGGGGACATATGCCAAGACCCCTAGTGGATGCCTGAAACCACAGATAGTACCAAACCCTAAATATACTATATTTTTCCCTGTATAAACATACCTATGATAAAGTTCCATTTATAAATTAGGCACAGTAGAAAATTAACAATAATAACTAATAATAAAAGAGAACAACTGAACCAATATACTGTAACAAAAGTTATGTGAACATGGTTTATTTCATTCTCAAATATTTTACTGTACTTACCCTTCTTGTGATGACAGATGATAAAACACTTACGTGATGAGATAAATGATGTAGGCATTGTGACGTAGCATTAGGCTACCACTGACCTTCTAAAGATAGGTCAGAGGGAGTATCCACTGCTTCTGGGCCGTAGCTAACCACAGGAAAGTGAGACCTCAGATAAGGGGTCTCGAGACTACTGCAGTGGTATTTAGCAGGGAAAGATATAGATACTCTGCAATGTGCAGGGCTGTCCTGGACAATGAAGTGTTTTATGCCCTTCATGACTTCTAAATATTTCATTAGTCATATATATAGGTTAAGAAAACTGCTTATGATATATATTTGCATATCTATGCATATGAACATGTGTATATTTCTTAATTTAATATCAACAGGCACAAAGAAAAATATGGACAAATACCCCACCAGACTATTAGGAGTGCCTCATTGCTTGGTTTTGGGTAGAGTCATACAGATTTTTAGTAACTCAGTTATGCATTTCTATTTTGTTTCAAGTTTTTATAAGAATGTATTACTTTCACTATTGAAAAAAACAAGTTAACCACCAAAAAAATGGGCAAAATTTGTTAAACAATTTACAAGAAAAATGCTGTCCTAAAGATATGATATTTTAGAAATAAGTTTATTATATATTAATCCATTAAAGTGGATTAATACCCAAAAAAAAATCTGCCTATAACTTTCTGAGCCTAAAAACTAAACAGCTTCATATATAAATACAATTTGTATTTCAGCATGCTTTTAAAATGCATGGAATCTTCAGGGATTCAGTTAGTATGAACATGGAAAGGAGACTGTGAAGAAATATTTACCACTCAGGAAAATCCAGGCCCTGATACCAATATTGCTGATGGTAGTCAAGTCACTGATACAACAGACATACATTGGTTGTTCAGCATTTGAGGCTGTGATGTCAGGGATTCTGAGTGAAGATGCCTGTAGCTGACTTTCTCATTATGTCCTCATGCAGAGCCATACTGAATCCTTCCTCTCCTTTAACGTCTCTATTTCAATCAGGACATATATGTGATTTCTAAATTTTCACACATAGGTAGTCTATATTATATATAAATAGCACATCAGGGTACAAAAGGGGGCATTATGAAATGTTTGCTACAGAAAGGGCTTATTAGGACTGACAAGGCTGAGAGCCACAGATTTGGCCCCTCAGATCACAAAGCAATGCCTCCATCAACTCTGACCTCCAAGCTTTTGCCTACACTTTCCAGTTACTCAGCAGTCACAGCAGAGGAAGTTTGGAGAAGGATTATGCTTGTCACAGCACATGATGACAGCTCTAACTCTGTGTAAAACAGGATCTTCGTCTCTCTGGGGTGGGGCAGTGGTAAGCCAGGGACTTCCCCCCACCCTCCACAACTGCACACAAGAATGAAGAAAGCCATGTGTCAGCAATGGATGGAAGTGGAACTGGGCTGTGCTACTTACAGAGATCTTCAGTGGCAGCTGGGACAAAGGCAGCCATGGACTCATACAGCTCTTCATCACAGCCGGGGTTGAGGGAGCACTTCATGAGCAGGTCTGTGGAGAGGTGGGCCATAGACTCATACACGGCGTCAGCCTCCTCCCCTTGCATCAGTTCCTCTTTGATGTGACTCTTTAGCATGTCCACAGTTTCCTGAAAGAGAAGATAGGACTCACAGGCACTTGGAGACACTCTGGCCTTCTAGGTAGAGTGAGGCCTTCAGTGGGCTTGGGACAGGCAAAGTAAAGGTTCACACAGGTCAGCATTCAGCTGTCCCACCAGCCTGAAAGCTCCCAAAGGCTAGGTTCCACGTCTTTCTCTGATTGTTTTGTCTTTTATTTTAATCTTTGTATCTTCTCCCAACACTAAGCACGCAGTCATGCATACAAGAGATGATCATCAAATGTCAGATGACCAGAGAATATAAATTAAAAACTTTTTAATAAGCACCTATTGTGGGTCACGCACATATATCACCTTATGTCATCCTTTCCAAAGCTGCTCAAGAAAGTTGCAATATTCCCTAGTTCACACATGAGTAAAACACAACTCAGAAAAACCTAGTGCCTTATTCAAGGGCGTGCAGTCCTGTCTTCTGACCTTTCTACTGTACCCTGGTTCCTCCACAAGAAACAAATGACACTCATGACTGTAACCCTTACTGACCAACCAGATGGAAATCCAAATGGGCTAAACAGGGCTGCAGCTAAAATGTTCTTGCACTGATGTGTAGGCAGATGTCCCTCAGAAGCACACTGCCCAGTCCCTGTTCCTTCTAGGAGGCTGCTCTGAAGTGTTTGGTTTGATACACTGTGTGCCCAGAGGAGAGACAGTCTTGGCTGAAGCGCCCTGCAGTCAGACATGCTGCCCTCTATCCTTCTGCCTCCCTGTGGAGGTGAAGACAGAAAGTTGGCTTCTCTGAAACCTCTGTACAACTTTCCTGGTAAGAAACTTTAGTGTTTCACAATCCTTATTTCAGCACCAACCCACAAAAATCCTCATTTTCATCATCACTACCCCAAAAGAGCTAATCTGCTATTCACACAATGTGTTGGTTTCCTGATGAGACCTAAGGACTGGCCCAGGTGACAGCTGTGAAGTGCTGGGAGACTCAAGGTCTGGCATTTAGTTTTGATGTGGTGGATAGAGGAAATGGGACAGTTCTTAGAGGTCATAAAAACATGCAGGGACCTTCTGGAAGCAATGCTAAAGATGATTATGGTTGGAGAGCAAAGAAGATATGAGAAATGTGAACCGGATTAATTTTGGTGACAAACTGAAAAGGCATTGTTAAACTTCCCTGTTCCCTACAGTAGAATAACAAGCCTCAGCACCGGCATCAGATTAGGTTTGCATCCTATCTCCACCCTTGCTGGCACAATTATTCTGCCTTTCTAAGCCCTTCTCCTTGTTTGTTACACAGATAACAATACCGTTAACTTCCAAGGATTGTGGTGAGCATGAAGTGAAACATGGCATTTGACAATCAGATAAATTCAATAAATACTGATCATGACTGTGAACACACAGTATGTCCCCAAGAAAAACTATTGGCGTGGAAATGATATGCTGCATTTTATACATTTCTGACTTCAAAGTAAAGCTGAGTAAATACTCCTAGGCTGTGAGCACCTTTTAGCCTCATTTATGTCAATGATGCCCAAAACAGGCACTCATGCTATTGCACTCGTTTGACACAATCACTCCCAAACTGTGAGGGGCCCCCTTCCATGCTTCAGTGAATTGCTGCCTTGCAGACTGTCAAATACAGAGCACAGAGTTAAGTTTCTGGGGAGGTGTAGGCTCACTCCCATATGGAGGTAGAGAGCAAGACTAGACTCTTTATTGTTCCTTTTGAGGTCTCAGCCCCTCCATGAGAGGCTGAGAGTCTTCACTGTGACTCGTGACGATGAAGGAAAATCAGGAAAGAATGGAGTTGGAAAGGACAGGTCTCCAAGACAAGAGAAGCGACATTGGGGCATGGAATAAAGCCTAGGCACGGGATGAGATGACACTCAAAGAAATTCTCAGAAGTCAATGATCAAGGAGGACCTGGGGGTCCAAAATCAGATGAGCAAATAAATTGGGCATATCTCTCATAAGATAGGCAGAGACTCAGGAAGAGAGATAAGCCATTAGCATAAGGGGGAGCCTCACAGTTGGCCTCCTGAAGCAGAGCTTTGCTGTGCAGAGCTCTCCTGCAGTCTCTGCTAAGGACAGAACCAATCCTAACAGTTCACCCAGATATGAGAATGGGCGAGGCAGCTGGGAGCATCCCACCAAAGTACCTTGGAGATGGTATTAGGGTGGGGAAGAGGGACCCACATCAACGTTCAGCAGATTTACTCTTTATTCTTTCAGGGTGGACCTCAGTGCTTTATATACATTATTTCCTTTTATCCTGAAAACAATCTTATGAGCAGAACTAGCATTACCTTCCTTCTGTACATCAGGAAACTAAAAGAGGGTGGGTACCTGATTTGTCCAAGGTCACATGGCTGACAAGTTTTGGCACAGGAATGTGGACCCATGTGACTCCAGAGCTCAACTCTTAAGCCCACACATACTTGCCCTGCCAGAGATGAGGCACATGAGCACATGCTAGATAGAGATGAAATCCAACCATGTCTCTAGTGAAAACGTAGCCCTAGGACCACATAGTACATTTCCATTCCTAGGGCCTCTCCCACCTTGACCTTACCACATACTCATCGATGAACTGCCGCAGGTCCCTGAAGCCATGTTTCTCAGCAATTGTATTGGGATAGTGGCCATGCTTGTTGGCCACACTATATGCCTGCAGGGCTCCTGGGCAGGTGAGCAACAAGGCAGTGAGGTTCTTCAGTCCGTATTTCGCAGCAAAATGCAACAGGGTGGGCAACTCTTCATTCCTTTGATCTGAAAAAGTGTTAAGGAAAACAATGGACAAAAAAAAAAAAATCAAGGCACAGGCACCCTTGTTCATGGAGACAAAGCTGGCAAGTCTACCACGGCAGCCAGCAGGCACTCGATTATTACTTCTTGGTTGACTGACCTAATATCTGACAGCTTCCTTTGAGGCACAACTGAAGATTATGCCCTCAGACGACAGAAGAAATGATATGCTCATTAATTAGCAAATCTAATAATTAATATCCTACTTTCTTTCTCTAAAAGTATCAAAGAGAGGATCCCTGGGTGGCTCAGTGGTTGAGTGCCTGCCTTCAGCCCAGGGTGTGATCCTGGAGTCTGGGGATCGAGTCCCACTTCAGGCTCCCTGCATGGAGCCTGCTTCTCCCTCTGCCTATGTCTCTGTGTCTCTCATGAATAAATAAATCTTTAAAAAAGAATAAATAAATAAAAGTATCAAAGAATCCTGAAAAATGATACTAATTCAAAATATGCTGATTTTCTGAAGGCTTAAGTAGCAGCCACACAGTATAACAGGAGTCATGTTTTGACCTTCTCTGCATATTTCATAACACTTTAAAACAATTGCTTTGTGCTGATTAAAAAAAAAGAAGTCCAACTTCTTAGCTCTTATTCCAAATTTCATAAAGTATGCCAAATAATCCTAGGTATGTTAATTAGCCTTTCCGTGGCCCTCAGTTTTGAACTAGAAGATATTTCCAAACTATCTCAAAAGGGCTGGGAGGATTAATAAGATGGTATTCAGTGAGTGCTTTGTTTAAGGTTTTGAATGTTGGTATTAATACACCTGAACTGCAGCATGTCCATTAACCCTCTAATTCATGGGAAACAAAGTGTTCCCATGGCTTAGGGTCCCTGGATCCCTGTAACCCCTTCTATCTACTAATATCTGGATACAGCAAGCCTATCAAGAAAATAGACATGTATGTGTTGTAGAGTTGGGGACAAATCTTTCTTTTGTTTGTTTTCATAAAAATTGATTTCTAAACTCAACAGCGATAGAGACATATACTTTTATGTACACACACATATACACATATATTTTTTTTAAGATTTTATTCATTCATGAGAGACACAGAGCGGGGGCGGGGGGGCAGAGACACAGGCAGAGGGAGAAGCAGGCTCCATGCAGGGAGCCCGACATGGGACTCGATCCCGGGTCTCCAGGACCACAACCTGGGCCAAAGGTGGCGCTAAACCACTGAGCCACCCACTGCCCACCCCCCTTTTTTTTTAAATAAAACAAACCAAGCTTCCTATTCAGCTGGGGATTAAGGGTCTGAAAAAGTCCCTAGGACCCCACATTGGCAGGCTATGAGATACTCCTTCCTGAGCCCCAAGTTTAAGAACAGAGAATACTAACACTGCTGAAAGTAATGCAAGAACATTCCACAGTAGAAAAATGGGGAAAGGTAACAAGAGAATGCCCCTGGGAGAAAGACTTGAGAGTAATATAACCCCATCCTTCTGGCTCTCTTAGCTATGAAAGGACGGGACATAGGCAGAGGGCAACCAGGTTTCATGCAATGTGAAGGAGGAGTGGTATCCACAAAAGCACCCTAACAGGCATTCTGTCCAGCCCACCAGGCACCATCCTCACATAAGACGCTATCCCAGCTCCCAGCATGTCACATGTACACACAAGACTGCTTGTCCCTCATTGAACAAATGTTTGTTTTGAGCCTGCATTTAGCCACCTGAGCTGGTAGCCTAGCAGAGCAGACAGACAAGCTGAGGAGAACTAGCACAGAGGGCACCTGGCATGCTAGAGGAGCCCAAAGCACGTAGATAGAACCTAGAACCTACCAGAGGTTCAGAAAGGTCTTCCTGGGGAAGTGCTACCTAAGCCACTGTAGGGAGGTGGAGAGCAGTTAGCCAGGTGTAGCAACCAAGAAGGACAGGAAGAAACTGCATTCCCATGAGTTCAGGTAGCAAGAGGCAGGCAGAATTTTCATCAGGTGAAAGAAGTTAATACTTCCTGTAGAGCAGAGCCCAGGGATAGAGGAGAGAGAGAGAGAGAGAGATGAGGGCAGAAATCCAGCAGAAACCCCTTGGGAAGGGCTTGGACACATGTTATGAGTTTGGACTTTATCTAGAAGGCAAATGGGAACCACAAAGGATGTTTATGTTTAGCACGGGGTCGAGGTATGCAGATTTCCAACTGAGAAGACTCTCTAGCTAGCCAGGAAGGAATTGTTCTCCAAGAATAAGCTACAGGGCAGGAATGAGCAAAGTACAAACACAGGGTGACTGGACACTGAAGCCAACAAACTACAATCAACCCATGGCTGCTTTCCTGCACTTTGGCTTTTTTTTTTTTTTTTAAGATTTTATTTATTTATTCATGAGAGACACAGAGAGAGGCAGAGCATAGGCAGAGGGAGAAGCAGGCTCCCTATGGAGAGCCTGATGCCGGGACTCTATCCCCAGACCCCGGGATCATGACCTGAGCCAAAGGCAGATGCTCAACCACTCAGCCACCCCGGTGCCCGCTGAGCTTTGACTTTTGACTTACTTGTCATCATATCCTCTTCTTCCAGCTGGTTAATTCCAAAGAGGTGTAGTCCACTCGCAGGGATGTTGTTCTTCAGAGACTCCGTCAGCAGTTTATCGAGGGTCTCTGTGTTGTAGGGCACAATTTTAAAGGCCTAAATACAAAAGTGAAGAATTTTCAATCCAGCAGATTCAAGGCTGAAAAACCATGAGCAGAAACTACATGTCCAGAAAATTGAGCTTTCCTTTCACCATCCCTACCTGACACATGAACTCCACAGGATTGGCAGCATTGGACAATAAATTCCCAATTTCTTCCATGTCAGTATAATAGCTGATAACAGTTTCACACACCACTAAATCCCCGGAATAGATCTTCAAGGAAACATTCCCAGATGAAAAACCTAAACAGAAGAAAAAAAAAAAAATACCATGAATGTGCCCAGGAAAAACAAGGGTCCAGGAGAAAGTGTTCACGGATTCACCTTAACGGTTAAGAAATTAACCAGGGGATGGAAGGAAGATTTGGGAGGTAGGTAAGGGATAGAGAAGTGAGGGGAAGGGTAAAAGTGACAAGTGAGCCAACTAGCACAGGAGAGGCCTCTGAGTCTGAGGAATTGTCCTCACCAGGTCCACAATTTAATATTTGGAAGATTTTCATCAGCTTTGTTCGCTAGAGTAGGTCCAGGACCATGATAAACAGGAAGAAGAGTTGAGTTTAAAGCACAAAGGACAGCAGTTGCCACAAGGTGGGGAAAGATCCTGGCAGGTGGAACACAGTGCTTCCACAACATGGGACTTGGGAGAATTGATTCACTGGCTCTGTTGCTATCATTATTATGTGTTCTTTCTCTTTTCTACCACAGGAAGGGGTTTTGAGGGGGAAAGAAAAAATTAAAAATACACCAACCACAAAGATTCGATTCACAAAAGAGGAAATACAACAAGTAGAGAACATGGAAAAATATTCAGCCTTGCTAGTAATCAAAGAAATGCAAATTAAAACAATGGGCTACTCTTTAAAAAGACACCAAATTAGCGAAGATAACTTTAAATGACAATGCCTAGAGTTGGTAATGACACAGCAAACTTGATAGGAGTAATATTTCAGGAAGCAAGTAAGCCTTGCTTATTTTCCAGGATCCATAAAAATGCCTATCATTTCAGGGATTCTATCTTGAAGAAATGCTCCTAAATACATGCATGCATAAAGATGCTTGATATATTATAACTTAAAATAAGACAGTAAGAAATCAAAATCATATAAATATGTAACAATGAGATGAAAAATTGAAAGATGATACTTCTTTTCAATGGAATATAATGCAGCTTTAAACAATATGATTTATAGAAGATACAAGTCCAACACAAGGAACTGGTTTTATAAATTATGATACAATGGATTACCTTGCAACCATTAAGCATTATGTTGTAAAAGAATATTTATTAACATGGGAAAATACTCATAGGTATCTTCTAGATAATGAAAGTGGCCTATAAGACTATACAAAGCTATGTACATAGATGCAAAAAAAAAAAAAATCACTGATTTCCTTTGAGGCATATGGGCAATTTTCTATTCACTTTTCTTTACCTTGGCTGTATTCTTCAACTTTTCAGTATTAAGCACATATACTTTTATAATAGAAAAAAAATGTTATAAAATGGAAAGTTACAAAGTCCATGGGGTAAAGGGACTCTGAGAGAATAAACATAAGATTATATAAAGAAAAACAGAATATTGAGAACTCTGTTTTTAAAATTGTGAACAAAGGCCAAAAGACAGAGTAGTAGCCTGGTGACTCTATTTCTACTTTCCTCTAATTTCAAAAAATTTTAATATGTTAATTTCATAAGGATAAAAATTTTACTATATCCATTTTTTCCCCCATCACACATGTATGTTTCTGCAACTTCCTTTTCCCTTAAATAGAACATGACAACCAAATCCAAATCTTGGCTGTCACTTTTCTCAGTTGCTGAATAAAGACAGGACAAGTAAAAGAAAGCAAGACTGGGCCTCTTTCTAAACCGGATTGCCTGATTTCTGGAGGTAAATGGGGCTACTCACTGGGGGCCTTCACGGAAACGGTGTATTCATTCTCCAGCTTGGCTTCCACCCTTACTGAGGGAGAATCCTCAGGAGAAAATTCTGCTTCTGTTGACACCCTCTCATCCAACTTACATCTCACGATGACGTAGACTGTGGTTTCCGCCTGGAATGGGAAAGCAGTAAGTGTCCCCTCTCCCTCCTGGGTGCCCTATCAGGGTGCTGGGTGGAGGGTCTCCCAGCTCCCTGAGGCCCAGCTCTATCTAGTGAAGCTATCCAGAGAAGGGTGGGGTTTGCTGTCCAACACTGGGCACAACTGCCATGGGTCCCAAAGAAACAAGTTACAAAGACCAAGAGTGAACATTTACAAACCTGTACAGCAATTTGAAGGAAGCAATTTTATGTCTGTTGAATCTAATATAATAATTTAAAATCCTTGGGCTTGTATTTCAAATACCTTTTTAATCTCATTTTTTTAAAAGATTTATTTATTTATTCATTCAGAGAGAGCGAGAGAGAGGCAGAGACACAGGCAGAGGGAGAAGCAGTCTCCACGCAGGGAGCCCGACGTGGGACTCGATCCCGGGTCTCCAGGATCACACCCCGGGCTGCAGGCGGCGCCAAACCACTGCGCCACCGGGGCTGCCCCTTTAATCTCATTTTTATAGCATTTCTTTTTTATTGCATTTGATTAAAGCATTGGTCCATGACATATTGGAAAATTTGACAAACAAAATAAAAGAGGTCTTCACAGATGGTTTAAGAAGCACTATTCTGACAGTAGCCTGGCTACTCAACATGAAGCCAACGGACAGCACTGGAAGCTGATTTGAAATGCAAAATCTCAGGCCGCGCCTGGACCCACTGCACCATCAGAGTCTTTATTTTACCAAGACCCCCAGGTGACTCACATGCACCTTACCATGTGGGAGGAACCAGCCTAGAGAGGCCGACTTGGGTTCTGCTTTCCATGCTGTTTTAGAATGGGCAAAATACCTTATTGGAGGACTGATTTTGCCCAGGCATGAATAATCTGAATAGCTATTTCACCTGGCTTTAAGATTTTTTGCCAGGTCTGCCACATACAATTATCTTATTTTATTGTGCTGGTCAAGTAGAAGATGAGCCTCTTAAGACTTGAACAGGTAATGACAGTCTGTCCAAAGAGCAGCACTTCTGGTCAGTGCTAATCCCCAAACGTTCATCCTATAATTCTTTTATAAAGACCTCATAGTAGGCCTTCATGACAAGGGCCACCATTTCACAACAGGTGAGGAAGATGTTAAATGTGAATGTGTATTTGGCTGACCTGACTCTGGCTGCAGGCCCAGGCCTGTCGCACCTGCTCCTTCTCCCAGGCAGCATGGGGAGTCAGAGAGAATGAATGTGTCCTCTCTATTGACAATAGGACCCAACCCCAGTCTGGCTGCCCCAGGATCCAGAGACCTAGAGAAGGCCACAGGGGGAATCTGGAAGCCAGGACAGGAGAAAGAATGAAAGTCTGGAGAATCAGAAAGGCATGTTAAGAGTACTATTCTTCGTTTCCAAACGCCCTTACCCACCGGTGCCCACCAGTCTGGTCTTAGGATGAGAGGAATGTGGAGAAGACAGGAAGGCATATGGAGAGACTGGAAACTAAAATGCCCACAAAGGCCTAACCAATGAAGAGAGGGCATGAAGTGGGCTGAAAATAAGAACAGGGAGTGATGGGAGCAATGAACTAGGGAATTCATGCCCCATCTAATGGGTTGCTAGGCCCAGCCACTCACCTCAGGCCTGGTATTATCAGATTCTGATTCAAGGGAAACTGGGATGGGACCCCTGGGTGGTTCAGCGGCTTAGAGCCTGCCTTCAGCCCAGGGCATGATCCTGGAGTCCTGGGATCAAGTCCCAAATCAGGCTCCCTGCATGGAGCCTACTTCTCCCTCTGCCTGTGTCTCTGCCTCTGTGTGTGTGTGTGTGTGTGTGTGTGTGTGTCTCATGAATAAATAAACACAATTTAAAAAAAAAAAAACAAAAATGAAGCTGGGAATAGATTTTCATGCCTAATTTTTAAAACACTGTACAGGGCAGCCCTGGTGGCTCGGTGGTTTAGCGCCGCCTGCAGCCCGGCGGCGTGATCCTGGAGACCCTGGATCGAGTCCCATGTCGGGCTCTCTGCATGGTGCCTGCTTCTCTCTCTGCCTGTGTCTGCACCTCTCTCTCTCTCTCTCTCTCTCTCTCTCTCTTTCTCTCTCTCTCTGTCTCTATGAATAAATAAATAAAGTCTTTAAAAAATAAATAAATAAAACACTGTACAATCTAAACCAACCATATCTATGAGCTCGATCCATCCCAAAGCAGCTGTCTGCAATCTCCATGGAGGGAGTCCTTGCCCAATGCCTGTAGCCTCAGGCTGCATGTGAAACCACGCACAGGTGCAAGGTAGCTAGTACTTCCCATTGCGAAGGCTCCCATACCCCTTGTCTCACAGACACCATAGGGGCAAACTTAGCATAGGGCTTGTATCTACAGGGAAGGGTTTTGCTGTTCTGAACTAGTATCACACATTTTTTTCATCAGGAAAGGAAAGATAATGAAAATCTACCAATTCTATGGTAGGATTTAAATGACGGTGGCCCATCAATTGGGCCATCACATTCAAGTCACCTGTTAACATAGGTCTCATCCTGAAAATGTTAGTCACATTATGCTTTGGCTTTTAACTTTAAAATTATCTAAAATTAACAACCAGTATTGGTTTCAGCCAGCAAACTTCAAGGCATTCATTTGAGGTACAGCAGTGGTCAATTGATGGAGAAGCAAGCTCTCAAAATGCCCTCTATCTACTTCCTCTCAGCACTAGGCTGGTAGGAACAGACCCAGGCCTCTACCTCCAGGGTTGGTAATGCTCATGTTTGCCACATGCTCTGTTTCTGATCTATGAACTTAAAATCTTAGATAGGGGGCACCTGGGTGGCTCAGTTGGTTAAGCATATGCCTTAAGCTCAGGTCATAATCTCAGGGTCCTGGAATCAAGCCCCATGTTGGGCTCTCCACTCAGTAAGGGGTCTGCTTTTCCCTCTCCATCTGCCCCTCCTACCCTACCCGTATTCTCACTCACTCTACTCTCTCTCTTTCATAAATAAATTAATAATCTTTAAAAAACAAAGATAAAGTCTTAAATGGATGACACATACTTTCCTGAGCTCGCTTCTCTCTTACCTAAAGGAGTGAGGTGTGCTCAAGGCTCAGGTACTGGGATTCCCAGAGCAGCTAATCGACAACAAAATCCCCAAGGGAAGGCTGAGATTACACCCCTTTACTGCAACAAATGCATCCATTGAAAAGGCCATGTTCTGACACTGATCCACCAGCCCCAGGAGTGCCTACCCCACAGCGAATGCGGTCTGGCTGCACCACCATCAGGTTCCCAGGTGAAGTCTGCAGTGGTAGGCTCTGCTGCTTCAAGCAGGAAGGGACCTTCTCGTCCTCGGTCTCTGTGTCAGTGACTGAGTCACAGCCAGAATCTATAGGACAAAGGACATCACTGAATAAAAACACAAGGAAGGAGAACTGATGGGCATGTTCCACCCCATGAAAGCCCCAAACATTACCAAATAGGAAATGGCTCTGAATGTCAAATAAATAGAAGCTGAAGAGAGTGACTCAGGAAATCATGAAAGACGACCTGCCGGGAAAAAGTCAATTACCCGGTAGGCAGCAAGGGTAGGATGCCAACAAGAGGACTGTGGAGAAGAAGAACAAAATGTCTGAGACAGGATGTTGCCCAAGGCTGGGAAGTCTACTCTTAACCAGTAGATTTCTGGAAGATTTGCCTCCAGACTTCCTGCACTGCTGGCTTTGGTGGCTGTGAGGAAAGGAGGCCCCCTCTCCTCAGGTGGGGTCAAGCATGGGCTGTCCACTTAATGGTCATCTTTTGAACACCAAGTAAGACCTGTGCTATCCAGGAAGCCATTAATCCTCAGGGTCATGGCTATCCAATGGAAACACTCTGGAACAACAATGAAAAGCAATCATTTCCAACAAATCTTGGATCAATATAACTAGGTCCCAGATCGGTACCATAGCTAATACCTATACTGTGCACAAGCTCAGAGCAGGTGAGGAGGAGTGTGCAAATGTGTGGGGCATGGCATGGAATGAGATGATGCTGAGATGGTATAAGTAGAACCTACCAGACCTCTAAGGCAGAGGCTCTTTACTAGGGCCCATCAATTGATACCCTGTGTGCAAGATTCTGTCTGTGTGTTTGTGTGTGTGTATGTGTGTGTACTTGCCTATACTTCTCTAGAGATAGTCCAAAGCTTTCATCAGATCCTCAAAGAGGAACAAAATGGCTAAGAATGGTTAAGAGATGGAAGGTTCATCCAGTACTTTCTCTTCTTTACCTCTAAACCACTTACAGAGCCAGGCAAACATGTCAGGCACTTGACATGAAAATTAATGAGACATCAATCCTGCCTTCGGAGAGCCCACAGTCTAAAAGGGCAGGTCCCGTGAGAGTTAAGACTTATCTTGGCTCATTCCTGCAGGCTGGCCTCCTGGGGAAGGAGGTGGCCTCTGGCAGAGCTCAGAACAGTAAGCCCTAGTAGAATGCTGGGGTGGTGCATTGAGCCACTGATATATCCCACAGAGAGCTGCACTCATAGGCTTGGCCATTAGACCTCAGGTCACACCAGGGGAACAGACTGTGCTCCCATGACCATGAAGGCTGAGGTTGGGGAGCTGGTCTAGGGGGCAAGGAACCATCACGTCCTACTGCTATAGCTGTGAGGCAAGGATCTCCAGGATCTGCTCAGGCTGGGGAAAGGGCTGAGGATTCCCAGATATGCAGCTTAAAAACTCTGCAGCCTCAGACAGTGGTCTTATCCTATAGCCTATGTCTGCACTGCCAGATGCCTCTGCACAGCCCCCAGACTGTGATGGGCAATGAGGCATACTCCTGTTGTTCTTCCCCTCTCTGGGATTTCCCCCAAGACTCACTATTCCACAAGGTCTGGCAGAGGCAGCCAGGTCTCTGATCCTGCTTGTACAATAGGAATCCCAGCAGAATTTAGTGTTAAGAGACAAGGCAAAGGGTCCTGGAAGTTCCAAGGAGGGTTGATACTGGTTTTCACTAGCCATCAGAGGCATCAATCTCCTATAGCTCTCCTTTCCTCTCCAATCCTAACTCCTTTAACAATGCCAGTTATCCCCCCTCAAAGGCTAAGTGCAATAGCCTCCCTGGCTCCCTGCTCTCCAGCCACATCAATGGAGGCTGCCACTTTCTCTGCTGGATCTGTCCTTCCCTGCTACCTTCTCTTCTTGATGGATTACTTCTATAACAGTCAGGATGGTTACCTCTACAGACAGAGCCGTACACACCACACAAGCCGTACACACCACACACTCCCACCCACCAAGGGAGCCTGTTTAGGAAAGAGCCAAAAAGATCAGGGATAATTAATATTTTTTCTTCTGAATAATTATATAGTATCATATCAAGCTTTAATATTTTATTATTTGATGCCTAGACTATCCCATTTTTTCCATTTCTGAGGTTCTTCCTGAATAAGAAAAAAATCTCATTGACTTAAACACCTAATCAGTTACTTAAAACTGCAAGAACTTCCCCAGAATTCCTCCAGATTTGTTTAGACACTACCCTGAGCAGCCCAGTGCCAGGCACCAACTCTTGCCAATTCCTTGTTCTAAGTGATTTTACAGGTATAAGCTCCTTGGGACAGACCCAATGTATAGTCTACCATTGCTTCAAAAAATAAAAACTCTTCATTTCTCCCAAATTACATATCTGTAATTAGTCAGCTGGCCAAAGAGTCAAAGCTCTAGTAAATATATTAAGGAAAGAACAGAGAAAATATAAGTAAGCCATTGAGAAAGACAGGATAATGACAGATATGGAAAAAAATTTTAGAAACATACTGATGTGAAAACTCTACACTAAGAATTTTTTAAATTTCAACACAATTTTATAGAAAAATATTAATTACCATAATTGTCTCAGAACAAGTAGAAAATCTGACAAAATCAATACTCATGGGAAAAAATTCCTTTAGTTTTCAAATAAAATTCAGAGTACAAGTCATATACCCCTCTTTTTGCATTGAATTTTTTTTTAATTTTTATTTATTTATGATAGTCAGAGAGAGAGAGAGAGAGAGAGAGGCAGAGACATAGGCAGAGGGAGAAGCAGGCTCCATGCACCGGGAGCCTGACGTGGGATTCGATCCCGGGTCTCCAGGATCACGCCCTGGGCCAAAGGCAGGCGCTAAACCGCTGTGCCACCCAGGGATCCCTTGCATTGAATTTTAAATTACAGTTACAACAATGTTCTTTATAATATCCAATTTTCCTATCTAGGAAAATTCCATTTATATAGGTTTATGCCTCTTACCAAAATTTAAGAAACAATAAAGTGTAGTCCTGTTTCGTATTACATTTATAAAAAATTAAACAGCAATTAAATACAATGGATAACCCCAAAATCAAGCTTCATTCTCATAAAAACTTAATATGTCATCAAGAAAACATTAAAAATCGGTATAGAATAAACAAAATGGTTGGCAAGAAGAATGGCTCAGCAGATGGTGCAGAAATTTTAGCTATTTGGGGTAGGGGTGATGGGACAGAGGGACTATTTAGATGCTTCCTAAATCTCATATACCCCCAAATAAAGTTTTGATGAATTATAGACTGAAGTGAAAAATAAAACAGATTTTAAAAATCAAAAAGATGAGGGGCATCTGGGTGGCTCAGTCAGTTAAGCAGCTGCCTTTGACTCAGGTAATGATCCCAGGGTCCTAGGATCAAGCCCCACATCGGGCTCCCTGCTCAGTGGGGAATCTGCTTCTCCCTCTCACTCTGTTACTTCTCCTGCTTGTGCTTTCTCTCTCTCTCTCTCCCTCTCTCTCTCTCTCTCTCAAATAAATAAATAAATAAAATCTTTTTAAAAAATTAAAAAGATGGAAATATGGGTGAAAATTTTATCATTGGTTTGGGAAAAGCTTGTTCATCTTAAACAACTAAAATATAATCTAGACAAGCAATAGAGTTGGTATGAATTTAAAACTTTAGTAAACAAAGTTTGAAAACTCTAAAATCTAAATTGTATTGTTTTGGTGGCATTAGTCATATTGTCCAAGGGTAGAAACAACCCAAATGTCCCTCAACTGATGAATGGATAGACAAAACATGGTATATTATTCAGTCATAAAAAGGAACAAAATATGGAACATTGAAAACATGATGCTGAGTGAAAGAAGCCAGCCACAAAAGACCACATATTCTATGATTCCAAATATGTGATATGTCCATAGGAGGCAAATCTATAGAAACAGGGACGCCTGGGTGGCTCAGTGGTTGAGCATTTGCCATTGGTTCAGGGTGTAATCCCAGTGTCCCAGGATCAAGTCCAGCAGGGAGCCTGCTTCTCCCTCTGCCTATGTCTCTGCCTCTCTCTCTGTAACTCTCATGAGTAAATAAATAAAATCTTTAAAAAAAATCTATAGAGACAAACATAGATTAGGGGTTGCCTAGGGCTGGGGGACTTAGTCGGGTAGAGGGCTTTGAGAGATGATAGCTAAAGGATATGCAGTTTCTCTTTTGAGGGGATGAAAATATTCTAGAATTAACTGTGGTAATAGTTGCACAAGACTATGAATATCCAAAAAAATACCACTGAATTGTACACTTTAAATGGGTAACTTGTTTGATGTAATGAGCACTGGGTGTGATATGCAACTGATGAATCACTCAACTTTACCCCTGAAACTAATAATACACTATATGTTAATTAATACAATTTAAATAAAGTTTTGAAAAAAATGAGTCACTTGTATGTTTTTTTTTTTTAAGATTTTATTTATGTATTCATGACAGACACAGAGAGAGAGAGGTAGAGACACAGGCAGGGGGAGAAGCAGGCTCCATGCAGGGAGTACAACGTGGGACTCAATCCCGAGTCTCCAGGATTACACTCTGGGCTGAAAGCGGCGCCAAACCGCTGGGCCACTGAGGCTGCCCGAATCACTTTTATATTATGTGAATTATATATCAATAAAGTTGTTATTAAAATATCCAATGACCAATCACAAACTGATTTAAAATTTGAAATAAATATGCCACAGGGCTAATCTCCTTAATATATGAAGGAATCATAGAAATCTCTTTAAAAACACCTAACAAAAAAAATAAAAATAAAAATAAAATAAATAAAAACACCTAACAAGGGACACCTGGGTGGCTCAGTGGTTGAGTGTCTACCTTTGGCTCCAGTCATGATCCTGGGGTCCTGGGATCAAGTCCCACATCGGGCTCCCCAGGGGAGCCTGCTTCCCCCTCTGCCTGTGTCTCTGCCTCTCTCTCTGTGTCTCTCATGAATAAATAAATGAAATCTTTAAAACAAAACAAAGCACCCAAAAAGTAGATAATTCGCAAAGGAAGAAATACGAATTACTTCCCCATCTAAAACAAAAAACAAAAAACAAAAAAAAAAAAACCATCCACT